CTCCGCCTCCTCCTCCTCCTCCTCCTCCTCCTCTTCCTCCTCCTCTTCCTCCTCCTCCCGCCTCTCCTCCGCCTCATCATCATCGCCCCTCCTGGTTCCGGTTCTGGTTAAGAAAACCGGGAATTCGGCCTGCGCTTGGCAAAGCAGGTCCTGGCACGCTCCCCCCTGAGCGGCAGCGAGTGCTGTGCCCAGCCCAGCGCCGAATGGCCCGGCTGCGCTTGCGTCGAGGCGGCGGTCGACGGCAGGGTGAATGCCCTCTGCTCGGCCCAGTTGCCCATGGGCACGCCCTCGCGAGTGCGCCGGCAGTTTTGGTGCCTTGAGGGGGCGCCGGCTGACCGCGCTGTCAGTCGCCACGGCCTTGGGGGCCACGTAGAAGTCGCGTCCCTACCTGTTCATCCACCACGTCACCAAGTGCCAGCCGCCCCCGCGCGGAAGGGGAGGGAAAGGGAGGGAGGGGAAGGGAATGAGAGAGACAGGGACCAGGGAAAACAGGGGACGGCAGAGGGGATAAGACGAGAAGGCAGAGGGCACCAGACAGATGATCACACCTCCTCCTCCTCCTCCTCCTCCTCCTCCTCCTCCTCCTCCTCCTCCTCCTCCTCCTCCTCCTCCTCCTCCTCCTCCTCCTCCTGGTCCTTTTCCTCCTCCTCCTCGTGTTTCTCCTCCTCTTCCTCATGCTCCTCCTCCAGTTCTCATCCTCCCCCTCCCCATCATCATCATCATCATCCTCCTTATGATGATGGCTAATCATCAGCATCATAATCACCACCACCATCATCACCATCATTATCATCATCGTCATCATCTGCAACATCATCATCATCATCATCATCATCATCAGCATCATCATCATCATCATCATCATCATCATCATCATCATCATCATCATCATGAGCAACATCATCATCACCATTGTAAGCATCACCAGCATCATCAGTCATCAGCGTCAGCAGCATCGTCATCATCATCATCAGCTGCATCATCATCGTCGCCAACAACGTCATCGATATCACCATAGCCATCACCATCGCCACCATTACCAACATCATCATCATCTTCACCATCACCATCATCATCATCATCATCATCATCATCATCATCATCATCATCATCATCAGCACCAGCATCATCGTCATTACCGGTCCTGCGACCCTGGAGACCGCGGGTCGCCCGAGACGTCCCCGGAGAACGGCCAAAGCTCCAAGACCGTTCGGTCACCCCGAATCCCCACTCTCTCCAAACGGTGGGGTCACCGTGCCGTCTGGGAGCCCCCCGACCGTACCTGCAGCCAAGAGGGCGGCGTCGTCCAGGGGGGGGGGCGCAAGTCCTGGCCCGAGGCACGTGCGCGGCCCAGGAGGGGGGCCCAAGGGCCGCGTTGAAAGAAGCGGAGGGGGCCTTGAAACCCAGGGAGACATCAAGGTTGAATGAAGGCCCGCCTCCTCCTCCTCCTCTTCCTCGTCCTCCTCCTCCACCTCCTCTTCCGGTCATGAGATCGACACGCCCCAGGCCCTCACCCCCCTCCTGGCCGCGCCCGACCGGGCTTGGCTGCCCCCAAAAACCTGGCCTCGAAGCCCGGCTTGGACGAAGAGGGGGCGCCCAGCCTTCGCCTGCAGCTTCAAGTTGGCGGAGGCGACGGCGGCCTGACGGCGGGGAGTGGCTGGCGCCGGCCAAGGCCGGGTGGGGGCGTCAGATGACCTCAGGATCGAATCGATAGGTCGGATCGGTGATCGAAATGAATCGGATCGGCGGAAATCGGCAGACGAGTCGGAAAAACTCTAATCGGCGGAAATCGGAAGGCTAGTATGCCTCCAATGAGAAATCGGAGCACAAATCTGAGTCCAAAGTCGAATCGAATCGATTCGGAGGAATCGAAGCGAGCCCTGGGAGGGAGCGGGTCCACAGAACTTGACACGCATCGGCCCCGACCACTGTGCAACACGAAAGAGGGCCAAACATTCTGCAGCCATGAGGGCCGTCCTGGAGTCACTCGCTCCACTCATGCGTCGATGCTGCGTCGAACGTCGGTGGACTTGGGTCGAACCGGCGTCGAACCAGAATCGGACAGACCCGTCAAGTGGGACCCAAGAAGGTCCAAGACCTGGCGCCGCCCGAGAGCAAGCTAAGTACATCTGGAGCCCCACCAGATGGAGCCCCCTTGGCTCCAACAACTCGCTCCATCTGGAGTTGGCGCCGCCCGAGTGCGCTGCTGGGGAGCATAGAACCTTGATCAGGGATGAGAAGCTGCCCCCGGAGGAATCGGGAGCTCTGGGGCCGCGGACCCAGCAAAACTCATCGTCGGACGCCTGGATGAGAGGCCCTCCCCCGGGCTTCGAGTACCGAGGAGCAAACAGAAACAACTGAGGCCCCCACACGCCCTGAAGCCGCCCTCAATACACCCCAGTGGGCTCCACGGAACCCTTTGGCACGGCGCTGGGATACCACTACACACAGTGGACATTATTTGATGTCTTCGAGAGCACTGCTTACTGCCACGCTTTCCCAGGCTTGAGCCGGCTCCTGGCACGCCGTCGCGGGCCCCAGGCCGGGGACGCACTCTCTTACCAGGGTTATCAGCCAAAGGGCCACGTCGCGAACCCCCGCCAGCCGCACGGCAGCTCCGAACCCGGGCCAGCGGAGCGACGGGAGAGATGGCCGGCTCCGCGCGGCTCCCTTCGGCTCGGGTGCATATCCCGCAGGACAAGGTCGGGGAACTGGATCGACTCAACATGTGCGTCGGACCGGGCTGTGTCGGCACGAATGCGGAATCGAATCGGATCGGCCGCGCCAGGATGCATGACAGCGCCACCATGCAAGCATCGAGCCTCATCGGATCGTCGGCGTATCATTATCGAGTCAATCGGATCGAAATGGACCCTGAGGGATCGGAGGGTCCACCATCGTGCCGCTGGTCTCGGAGTCGGAGTGTCCTCAGGTCCTTTGCCTAATCCTCGAAGCCTCAGTCCTCACTCCTGAGGAGCCTTTGAGAAGCCCAGAGCCCAAATTGCCAAATCTCCCGGGACTTGGCGCGGCTTGGCGCGGCTTGTGGCTTGACTTTTTGAGAGCCACGAGAGCCTGTGACCCACAACCCAGGCACGGTAGCGGAGTGGGCCGAAGGCCATTAGATACTGACTCACGTCCCCAAAGCGCTAACCACCGACGTCCACCACTAGGTTGTCGGGCCATAACTCAGGCCTCAGGCGGCCACCTCGTGCGCTTCGGGCTTCGCCGGCACGCTTTCGACGAGGTGCAGCTGATGGAAGCCTCCCGCGGTCCTAAAAAGTCCGAAAACTATAGAACCTTTGATCCTCGAAAACCGAAGCCTCTGCGTCTATCCAGCCCCGATCAAGACGACCCCAGGGATCCCCGCTCATCGAAAAGACTTTCAGGGACGCCCAAGACCGGCCACGAGAGAGGCCCGGAAGGCCCCTGGACTTCAATCGAGCCTCTTCGGGAAAGCTCTGTTGACTGATCATCGCGGCCCACAGCGGCGGCCCGAAAACGTCCCTGAGGCTGGCAGGGCGGCGTGAAACCATCGCGTTACCCGCTGCTGGCTCGTTGCGAAACCATCCTGTATGCATGTGAAGCCATCCTGTATGCATGTCAGTAATGCGCTGGCATGGTGGTGGGAATGCCAGAGGCAGCTGGATAGTGATGATCGGCCTATGCAGCGCGCGTCCGACCGGAAGAGGGGTTCCTAAAATGTGCCCACAGAGAGTTGGCCTCTCGAACCTCACGGTCACCCTTCCACCTTTCCTCAATGCCATTCCCCCTTCGGGAACCAGACGAGGCGCTTCAGAACACGCCCAGCGGGCATCTGCATCTGCAAATCTATGATGTCTACGATCTCCTGCGTGCTGATGAGGTGAGATGTGCTACCGTCTGCGTGGTTCTTCCCGTCGCCGTATGGGTGGTCCTTGGTCCACCACGGCGTGTCGATGCCGCCCGGGCAAAGGGTGCTGACAGTGACGCCTGTACTACGGGTCTCATTGGCGATGGTGTCCATGAAGCCTACCATCCCGTGCTTGCTCGCCACGTACGCAGCCTCGTTGGGGATGCCCCAAGTGCCGGCCACAGACGCGATGGCAAACAGGTAACCGGTATCCCGCTTGACCATGCCCTGCAACACCTCGTGTACTACATACATCGTCAGAAGAAAAAAAACATGACGTTAATATAAACGTTTGGAGGTCCGTGTGGATCTGTTGTATCCACGCTCGATCCCCATCCCTGGCGCGCGGGGTGTGCCAGGGACGCCGGAACCAATACCTGAGGGTCCAGCGCAGACACAAGACATCCGCGCGGAGCTCCGAAAGTTTATGCTTATTCAATGTTGTCTTCTTCGAATCGTGCCCTTCAGGTTGATGTCGATGCAGCGGTCCACGTCGTCAAGCGTCAGCTTCCAGAAGGGCGCCCCGTTGTGGCCCACGGCGGCGTTGCTGATGCAGAGCCCGATGGGGCCCAGCTCGGCCTCGGCACGCCTGACCGCGGCCACGGCCTCCTCGCGCCTGGCCACGTCGCACGGCACCGCCAGCGCTCCCGCGCCCGCCTCCCGGCAGACCGCCCGCAGCTTCTCCTCGGAGCGGGCCAGCGCAGCCACCTCAGGGGAAACACCAACTGTCGAAACATAGACTCCCGGAGGTCAGCGCAGAGTTCCTGGATCTCTGCTGGCCCCCTTGGCGGCGCCCCCAGCGCCGCCACTGGCGCGCTCCGCGCGCCAGCGAAGGGGGGCCAACGCGAAACCGAGAAGTCCGCGCAGACCGAAAACTGTTGTGTACATGTGTTTTCCGACCTCCAGAGCCTTCCACCCCTTTGCGGCGAAGTGCCTGACGAGATGCGCGCCCACGCCGCTGGAACCGCGCTCGGCTGGCCACCCCGATGGGTGGGTCGCAGAAGGACATGCTAGCTTGTCGCCGATGACGGGCCCGGAGACCGAAAGCGGGGAAAGACGCCGGGGTCCAACAAATCATACCATGGTTTTGGGATCAGGGTGGCCCCCCCGAGCGCGGTCGATGGAGGCGCCCGTGATCAGCGCCACGCGCGGCGCAGCATCGACGCCGGCGCCCCGGGCTCGTTTCGCGGGTGGCTGGTCGCCCATCGCGGGGTGTCCCCGCTTCGGCTAGGGCGGCCTGGCCCAAAGCGGCTGCGGCCGTCCAGCAGGTCCAGGAGGATAAAGGGGCCCAGGGACACACAAATAACTACACACACACATCCCAGGATTCCACATATTCTCTCATGTTTTCTGAACTCTCGTATTCCCCCCACTTCCCATATTTACACATATTTTCCTGGGAATCGACGATGAATTGTGCCTGTGTGTTATTCCTCCTGAGAAATACGGGCGCTGCATTTTTTCACGCTGGGCGTCTTCGCCGTGTCTCGGACGCTGGGAACATCACGGATCGGTCTGGCTCGACAAAGGCAACAGAAAGCTGGAGTCTAAGATCTAGGGCCCCAGTCGTGATGTGTTGCAATGTTGACTGTTCGCGACGTCGGATCTCAGAGAGCACGAGGAGGGAAGAGGGGGAGATGCTTTGATTCTTCCACTGAGCAGAGCTCGAACATTGATCATGATTTGGGGGGGCTTCTGAGGGGGAGGCCAAGTAAGGACCCTCCCCTTCTTTGCTCGAGCTCTTCCACGATGGCTCCAAGAAGGCGTCTGAGGCCCCCAAGACAGCTTCAAGAGGCTCCCAAAAGGCCCCCAAGAAGCCCTCAAGAGGACCCCAAGAGGCCTTCACGAGGCTCCCAGCGGCATACAAGACGTCCCAAGGAGGCTCACAGGACCGCCGGGAGGCCCCCAAGACGCCCCAAGAGGTCTCCAAGCAGGTTTCTAGGCCGGCCCGCCCTCGCTCCGAGGGCTTTCTAGATCCACCCCGGTTGCCCGCGCTGTTAAAACATATGTGTCTCTTCCTCTTTTCCCCCGCTAGGTATCAGGGGCATCGCTTCTGGACGACCTGGTGGGGATGCGCGAAGCGTCAAGACTTTGTGAGTGCGAGTGTGTCAGAGTATGAGTGAGTCTCTATGTGCGCGTGAGCCTCAGTGAGTGAGTCTGAGTATGACTGAGTATGGATGAGGTCTGAGTGTGAGTGGTCCACTCTGATTGGGGAAGGAGGAGGAGAAGGAGATGAGGCGGAGGAGGGTTCGTTTGTTTTCGGAGCCGTCGAAATATTATCAAGAGCCCCATCATAGAATAGGGGGACAACACAACAGCACCAACCATGAAAACATTCCACTGTCACACACACACATACACACACACACGCATACCGAAATAAACAAAAACACATACGTGGAGCCTGGTCCATACGCGCGATCCTCCGACGGAGGATCGCGCTGCACCGCCGATGCAAGGCGACGCCAGCGTGAAGAACCTTGGGTTCCACGCCGAGCCGCCTCGGTGGTGCATCGGTTGTGCGGGCGCGATCCTCCGACCCCGCATGCTCTGACCCCGTCTGGGAGACCTAGGTCATTGACTACCTACCAGACCACCCCAACCCAACCCGAAGACCCGAATTTCGGGGTGGGGGGTGTACTGGTTCCAAACGTGTTTTTCGATGTTCCCCGACGCCCTGGAGGGCAAATCGGGGTCTTCGGGTTGGGCTGGGGTGGTTTGGTAGGCGGTGAGTCATATCCGAAGAGCTCGACCGCGGGCCGCACCGCACCGCCAACGCCGCCCGGGGGCCCACCGCCGCCGGCCGCCGCAGCCGCCCGCCGGCCGGCGCGCCTCGGCGGCACCCGCTCCGCCCTCTGCGGCGTCCGGCGGCGGCGGCCCCGGCGCGGCGGCCCGGGCCCTCGCCTCGGGCGGCGCCCGCACACCCAGGCCCGAAACGTACAGGAGAGGACATCGACGCCAGTGTGTCTCACACTTCTCGACCTCACGGGGCCCTCGCTGGGCCCCGGGGCCGTCGAAAACGACTCGGGGTGGAAAGGCTGGCCCCGGGGAAGAGGTCGAGACTTCTGGGGACCCCGTGTTGAAGAAAACAAGACATCGATGTCTGGGAAGGGGTGGCGCGAGAGGGGGGTGGGCATCTGAGGCGGCGAGGCTTCTCAGAAGGTGCGAAGGCCTCTTAGAAGCCCACCAGGTTCGGGCGGGCGGCAATGGGGGGTTACTACATGGGGGTGAAGAAGAAGAGCCCGTGTCTTCATCCCCAATTGAAGTTTCCGCCCATTGCCACCCGCCCGACGAGTTTCAGAAGCCTTCTGAGAGGGCCCCTGCCGCTCAAGAAGCCCCGCTGCCTTCTCAGAGGGCCCCCCACCCTCGAGCCCCCCCCGTTGTGCCGAGGGAAGAGGAGCGGGGGCCATGACCGAGATGTCGCGGGAGCTTGCCCGTGCCGATCTTGGCCATGGCCCATGTCGGCCGCCGACGATCCGCGAGGAGGACGCATGAATTAAGGCTGACCAAGACCGACGCTGACCAAGATCGACACGGCGTTTACGCGTTCGGTGTTGGTCATGGTCCCCGTTTTCTTGCTTGGCGGCGGGCACAGGGGGGTAGGGGGAGGGGAGAGAGCTCTTTAGAAGGAGGCTACTTCCCAGAAGGCGCCGTCCCGACATCTACAGGTAAAGCCCAGACCTGCTAAGAAGGAGGGATGCCTCTAAGAAGTCTCCCCCCCTTCACCCCCCTGCACACCCCTCTGCGCGTGGCCGATTCTTCCTCTCCATTGTGGGCGCCACCAGTCGCCCGCGCATGAACGGCGCCAGCCGCCGCGGGCCCGCCTGCGGGGGGCGGGGTCGCGGGCGTCGGCCCGCCCACTTTCGGGGCGGACGGAAGGAGGGGCGGGGGATAGCCCCAAGACGCAAACCATACACTTCCCGGCGATGTGTCGGTAGCACCAAGCATCCGCCACTGTGCCCCCCTTGCACGTTGAGGCGTGGAATATACCAAGGTCTGTCTGGTACGCAGGGCTTATTGAATTGTGATGAGGAGCCGCCCTTTCCTCGACCAGCAGACTTGTGCGTGCATCGCCCCTCATTTCCGAGGCCACTAGCCTCGTGTCCGCTCGAGAATGGTGCACTCCTGCATGGCAGATAATGCCTGAACCCGTATTCCATGCTCGTCCGCTCGAGGATGGTGCACTTCCCGCATTCCCAGGTGCTGCTCCCAAGGCATCCCAAGCCACGATCCTTCTTTAAAACAATGGATCTGCCTTCCGAGCTTACGAGACGGCCAGTGCAGGCAACCAAGGACACCAAGATGGCTCAAGATGCCTCGAAGACGGCCCAAGATGGCCTCAAGGCGGCCGGTGTTTGACTCAATACGGCACAAGATGCTCACAGGGGGGCCCAACATTGCCACAAGAGGACCTCCAACAGGGTCGTACGACTCCAAAATCATTGATTTCCCAATGGTTTCCAACTGATGTGTTGCAGTCTCGACTTTTCGAGTTGCCGTCAGCTCGAGGCCACCCCAGAGGACTCCACGATGGCCCAACAGGCATCCAAGATGGCCCCAAGGCGGCCCAACAGGGCCTCCTGGGGACCCACGACGGCCTTCGAAGGCCCGACGGCCCAAGACGGCGCCAAGACGGCCCCCAGACAACCACCGTACGGCCAAGGAGGCCCCAAGACAGCAAAAGAGACCCCCCACACGGCGTAAAGGGCCCCAAAACAACCCAACAGGGCCCCAAGGGGCCCCCAAAACTGCCACCCAGGAGGCCAAGACAGCCCCAACACGGCCAAAATGAGTTCCGTCCTCTTCCCCTTCCTCCTCCTCCTCCTCCTCCTCCTCCTCCTCCCTCCTCCTCCTCCTCCTCCTCCTCCTCCTCCTCCTCCACCTCCCCCCCTCCCCCTCACCCTCCTCCGCCTCTCCTGCTTCTCTTCCTCATCCATTTCCTTCACCCCCTTCACCTCATCAGCAGCACAATCATCATCATCAACATCATCACCATCATCATCATCAACAACAACATCAGCATCATCATCATCATCATCATCATCATCATCATCATCATCATCATTATCGTCATCACCAGATGAGATGATCAGCCTGAAGGAGTATGTGGACCGCATGAAGGAGGGGCAGAACGACATTTACCACATTACGGGGGAGAGCATCGCAGCGGTGTCGTCCTCGCCTTTCCTGGAAACGCTGCGCAAGAAGGGTCTTGAGGTCCTCTACATGACCGATTCCATTGATGAGTACTCCGTGCAGCAGCTGAAGGAGTTCGACGGCAAGAAGCTCAAGTCGACGACCAAGGAAGGTTTGGACCTCGAGGACGAGGACGAGAACGAGAAGAAGTTGGAGGAGCTGAAGGCGGAGTTCGAGCCGCTGACGAAGCTGATGAAGGAGGTGCTGGGCGACAAGGTGGAGAAGGTGGTTGCCAGTTCGCGCATGGCGGACTCGCCCTGCGTGTTGACCACGCACGGCCTGCAGCCGAAGCCTTTCGTCGAGGCCTGCTATGGCTTCTGGCTGGACGGCGACTTCATAAAGAACGACGAGCCCCTGAGCAACGTTCTGCCAGATGAACTAGTACTCCATGCACTCCTACATGGCGTCCAACCTGCCGCCTCTTGAGGAGATCGCGGGCGCCGCCAACGAGGCATCGAAGATGGCGAAACGTCGACTGAGATGCTGTCTCATCCCTTTCTGATGCACCCTCTGAGCCACGGCCATATTTGCATTTTTTTTTACGTTAAGTGACTCGGGCACCCGCTCGCCTGTGTGTAATGACTTACTTGCAGGCTAGATACACGGTCTCTGGCTGTGCGTCGATGCCCCCCGAATGCACTCGCCCCACGCGGGTTTATCGGGACATGACTCTGTTATGCTCTCTGCGGCGGATCTTCATACTTGGTCCTGACGTCGAGGAAAAAATCGTCATCACCATCCTAGACAGCAGCATCATCATCATCAACATCATCATCACCAGCAATATCAGCAGCAGCAACATCATCATCATCATCATCATCATCATCAGCATCATCATGATCAGCATCAGTAGCATGATCGTCATAATCACCATCATAATCAGCATGTTCATGGTCAGCATCACCAGTATACTCATCATCACTGGCAGCACAATCGTCAACATCACCATCGTCATCAGGATCATGTTCATCATCAAGAGCATCAGCATCATAAGACCATCACCATGCTCATCCCCGTGATCGTAATCATTGTCATTATCATCATCAGCGTCCCCTTTTTTACCATCAGCTGCATCCGCATCACCATCATCAACATAAACAGCATCAATATTTCCAACGGAAACGTCATCACCCGAATCACCATCATCATCACCAGCTACAACAACATCATCGTCATCACCAACACCATAATCACATCCACAATAATCAGCATCGTACGACAATCACAGCAACATCATGACAATGACCCACGTCATCAACATTACCGTCGTCGCCATCGCCATGGCCATCATCACCATCATCATGATCAACATCACCATCACCATCAGCATCACCATCATCTCCATTACCGCCACAATCACCATCATCATCATCGTACTCATCATCACTATAGCATCATCATATTCACCACCACCGTCAACATCATCATCGTCGTCATCAACATCAAGACCTCGGGCACCGAAAAAGGGGGAGGGGGTAGCTTCAAAGCACCCATCCCTCTAGCAAGGGCCACCCCAACTCAAAAACACCCACAAACAGGGGGAACGGGGGGAGAGTTTCGGGAGCCCCCCCTCCCCTGGTAGCCTGAAGCTGGGACCCCCCTGTTGGTGAAAAGTGCGCCACGAACGCGCTCTTTCAAACCCCTGGTGCGCAGCTTCAGGGGGCCACAGAGGGGGGGGGGGGGCCAAACCCGAGCGCGGAAGACGCTGCTATCGCATGGCGTTCAATCTGAACATCGTTTATCCCATCCCTATCCCCAGCGGCGTGAACTGTCGGGACGGACGCAGGGGGCGGATAGGAAAGGGCACGGTTGGGGATTTGCTAACATGAGGTGGGCGCCTAAAGCCTTCCCAGCTAATGGCGGCAGTGGTGTGGCGACTCCTGTAATCAGATCGCGTGCCCTCGGCCTGTGCTCGCATGCCATAGTGTAAATGCAACTGGTGGCCTGCCCGCGTGTTCCAACGTGGCCGCGCGTCTGCGCGCGCACCGACGAACGCGAGGTCGATCCATGCGCTCTCAACGCGCTGAACGGTCAGCGCACGAAAAGCACTCGCATGCACGCGCGCACAATGACACATGCAATCACGAAGGCTGCACGCGTGCGCGACGTGACTCAGCAGGGGTGCGTTTCCCAAAACGTGGGAAAAAATATTCGCCGCATCCCCAACCCGCTTTTCCGACCTCCTCCTGCTCTCCCCCCCCCCTGCACCCAACCAGCTATATGGAGCTGCCCCGGCGGGAAACCGGCTACGCACAGCTAGCTCCAGGCAGCTAGTTCGGCGCGAAACTAGCTACGCGGGGCTAGTTTCGCGCCAAGCTAGCTACACGCACGTAGTTCGGCGCCAGACCCAGCTGCACACAGCTAGTGTTCCTCGACGCGCACCTCGACGTAGCAACCCGGAGATTCTCCAAAATGAAAATTAAATGACAACGGCCCTGAATCAGCTGCTGTAGCTGGTTCCCCGCGCAAGTTTGCCGCGCCCATGCGGGTGCTGTCGTTGATCGCGGGCCACCAGCTGATCAAAAACAACGCCCAGCTGGGTGCAGCAAACGTCGCGCCCGCTCATGCCCCAGCCTTCACCCGCGCTGCGCGCCCTGAGCCATTAACAACTCCCCCCCTTATGCCGATTCCCCCCGGCGCTCCGACGCATCGCTCAAGAGGGCCGTTAAACCTACGGGGAACTGCGAAACACGCGGAGAGCTCATCTTCGTAATATCACGTTCGCACACACCGCCCGCGCCGCGCATCGAAGCACACGCGCTCGGATCGACAGCGCCGTGATCGAGTGCCAGACTGCCTCGCCCGACTCCCTTGCGCCAGACGGCCAAATGCCCCTGCCTGAACAGTGCCGCCCAAGACTGCGCGCTTCGAGGCTCGCTCGTTTCTGCGCCCGCTCTGGCACCACAGAGTTCGCACGAGAACCATGCTCGGGCGGAAGAGCGAAGGCGGAGAGGAGAGGTATGGAAGGACAAAAGGAGAATCGGCGCTCGGGGTAAAGAAAGAGTAGCTACGCTGCTCGGCGTGTCAGACCAGCAACAGGTATCAAATTCCGACCCCCCTCGTTTCCCTATTCCCCTTTTCGTCCGGCCCGAGCCTGGGCCCCACTTGCCGATTTACCCCCCGAAGGGTTTATCCCCAACTGGGGGGGTAAATTGGTGGGGGTCTTGAAGGGGATGGGGATGGGGATGGGGATGGGGGTCGGTTGAACGGGACGCTCGTGCGCACGCACCAAAGACCACTCCAACGACAGGTCAGTCGCACATGCAGCCGGGAGTCTGGAACCTGGAATCCCTTTCGTGCGCCGGGCCGCCGCTGGCGGCGGCGCCAACGGCGGGCTGGGCGACGGCGGCCAGCTCGCCCCTCAGAACGTCGATTTCGGTCCCGAGGTCAGCGACCTAAGGGGGCCTCCTCCTCCTCCTCCTCCTCCTCCTCCTCCTCCTCCTCCTCCTCCTCCTTAGCCTCCTCCTCCTCCTCCTCCTCCTCCTCCTCCTCCTCATGCTCCTACATAGTCATCTTCTCTCATCCTCCTGATCCTCCTCAATGACCTTCACCTCATCCTCCTCCTCCTCCTTCTCCTCCCCCTCCTTCTGCTCGTCCTCCTCCTCCTCCTCCTCCTACACCCCCCTGCCAGACCTCTAACACACGGGAATCTCGAGTTGCGGGCGGCAAACTTGAAAGTGGCACTGCCCTCGTGAGCCATTCAGAGCCAGGCGATGGCGTGCTCCCTCCTCGATCCGCTCCCGTCCCCTCTTTCCCCGTTACCCTCGCCCCACCATCAAAAAGGCGCCATAGGACTCAGATTTGGCACCTTCACGTTCCTCTCGGGGGATCCATGGGAGTTCACGCTGTGGGTCCCGCGCCAGGACCCAACGTCATCGGCTACACAACTGGGGCCAGGTGCTGGACGTGACCAGCCAGACCACAAGGCACAATGCCCAAAGTCCCCCTCGCTCAGAAGGGGACCAGTCCTCCGGGGGGGAGCACCACAGAGCCGACGTCATCAGCTACACAGCTGGGATTGAAGCGAGGAAGTGGTGCGGCAGCTGCTATCAGCTACTACGCTGCTACGCTGGAATCAGCGCAAGACGCAGCGCGACGCAACTCAGAGAGGTGAAGTTGGAGCCCGATCTCATCTGGTACAGCACCAGGACCAAGGCGTCCGTGAACGGCGGGGGGCGGGAGGCGGCGATGGTACCACTCTGCAAGAAGGCGGATGCGCAGCTGGAGCCCGAGCTTGTCAGCACCAGTACTGCGTACAGCGCGTGCGAGCAGGGTGAGTAGCGGCGGCAGGCTCTGCTGCTACTCGGCGCGAGGCGAAGGCGAAGCTAGCGCCCGATGTCGTTAGCTATAGCGCTGGGATCAGGACGTGAGAGAATAGCGAACAGCAAGCGGCTCCGACACCATTCCGCGAGAAATGGGATGGGAAGCTGGACCCCGGTCTCGTAAACAACAGCACTGCAGACATCATCAGCTACCCTGCTGGGGACAGGCCGTGCGAGAATGCGAAAGCGTCGGGGAGGGGCAAGCAGTAGCAGCAGGAGTGGAGGAAGGACGCGAACCCAACGCCATCAGCTACAGCGCAGCTCCCGCGTAGGAACTAGCTCGTGCGCTCGAGATTGCGCGTGCAACGCACTGGCACACAGTGGGGAGCAGGCAATGGCAGCAAGGCGGGCAATGACAACAATTCTGTCGGTGCTCAAATGTTTTGGCATCAAGCGAGGCACGTCTCAACTACCGTGCAAAAATCAGCTCGTACGAGAAAGCAATAACAACAAACGGATACGCTTTCGAATACAACCGTGTACCGTCTGGCTCGGGGACGACAGTAGTGCCTGTGCATGGGCTCCTCGGTCGGTGGGCCGCGGGCGGGCCCGTCGATCGAGATGGGTGGGCAGTGGCAAGGCTCGTCGCGGCTCGTTCGGGGTTTGCTGAAACTACTTCTATCAAGTACAGAAAGGCTTTGTGGGCAAGGCCCCCCGCCGCCACACTCCTCTCGGCTGCACACGGTCGGCGAACAGGGGTGCCATCCCTTTGAGACCCTTACACGGAAGGCCCTAGAATGCAGCCTATGACAGTCCATGGCAATCCTACATCCCCCTCCTCCCTGCTCCTCCTCCTCCTCCTCCTCCTCCTCCTCCTCCTGCTCCTCCTTCGCTGTTTTTCTTCGTTCTCCTCTTCCTCCGCCTCCTCCTCTGCTTCCACCTCCTCATTCTCCTCCTCATTCTCCTCCTCATTCTCCTCCTCCTCCTCCTCCTCCTCCTCCTCCTCCTCATCATCATCATCATCATCATCATCATCATCATCATCATCATCATCATCATCATCATCATCATCATCATCATCATCATCATCATCATCATCATCATCATCATCATCATCATCATCATCATCATCATCATCATCATCATCATCATCATCATCGTCATCGTCATCGTCATCATCATCATCATCATCATCATCATCATCATCATCATCATCATCATCATCATCATCATCATCATCATCATCATCATCATCATCATCATGCATCCCCTCCTCCCTGCTCCTCCTCCTCCTCCCTCCGCGCCCTCCTCCCTGATCCCTCCGCCTCGTCCCTCTGTCCTCTTCGCTCGAAAGTGACGACGCGGCACCTGGGACTCCAGCGCGCGCTGCCGCTGCCTCGAGGCGGCCGCGGTCGCGGTTGAGGCCTCGATCTTCTGCTTCGACCGCTCCTCCCGCTCCTGGGCTCGCGACCCGAGCGCGCGCGCGCACGGGCTCGCGGGAAAGATCCGGCGCTGCGCGAGGCGGCCCCTCTCGCTGCAGGAGGTTTGGAGGGGCCCAAGGACACACGTAAATGCACACAGATAACAGGATTCACCATTCCCCAATCTGTGCTTGCATTGAAGGGGTCCTCGCTGAAGTTGAAAGATTTGGCGAAAATTTCCCGCCGATGTTGGTCGCACGCTGGGTTCCCGGGTTCCCAATTCCGGGTTCCCGGGTTCCTGGTTATTGTTTCCGGGCCGATTTCGGTGGGTTCCGGGTTCCTGGTCGATCTCCTCATCGATATCTTCATCGATCCCACGATTCATTATTGATCTCATGATCGATCTCACTATGCATCTCACTAAATCGATCCCACCATCGATCTCATCTAACCCTCCACTGTTTCTTTTTTTTCTATGGTGTCATAGCTTCCCATATGTTCTGGGTTTTTGTTTTCCCCCCCACTTCCCATAGTTTCCAATATTTTCCTGGGAGTCGTCGATCAATGGTATCTGTGTTTTTCCCCTCCTGGAGGATGCGCCACCGATTCTGGGCCAGCCCACCCTGGGCCAGGCTCGGCGTGTTGTCGGCGTCGCGCCGAAGGGGGGGGGGCGGGCGGGCCTTCTCGCAAGGCGGCGGGGCTTCTCGGAAGCCCCCGCGCCTTCTGAAAACCCATCTGGCTTCGGAGAGGGCTCAGAGAGCTTCTCCAGAAAGCTGAAGCCCTCTGAGCCTGCTGAAAGGCCCGAAAACCTCTACCCCTTGCCCCGATGGTCCCCGCCGCCAAGTATACGCCATCCCGGCTCGGTCCACAAGGCGTATGCACAAGTCAATGGACAAGGATCGGCTGGGCCAGGATCGGTGTGGTGTTGAGCTCCAGGAGATCCGATATATGCATACATGTGCACCTCCTTGGGAACCGATCTCCTGGCACGCCAGGAGGCTGTGGAGGCGGTGGGCATGGACTTCTTCCAAGGGGCCCAGGGACACACAAATATTGTGCCATATTTTTTAGGTGTTTGCCTTCCCCCCATTTCCCATATTTTCTATATTTTCACATATGTTCCTGGGAATCGACGATTTGTTGTGTCTGTGTGTGTTTTTTCCCCTCCTGATTCTTAGCCCCAGACAAGGGGCCCGAACACATCCATACCGGCCGCCTCCCAAGGTCCTGGGAGATCCACAGGCGGTGCGGTGCACACTCGCAAAGCCCAGGTCTAGCTAAAGAGGCCCTGGGACACAAATCTATACACACAACAATCTCTGGATTCCCCCAAATGTATCATATAGTTTCTGGGTTTTCGTCTTCCCCTCCACTGTCCATAGTTTCTCAAATTTCCCTTGGAATCGACGATTAATTGTGTCTGTGTGATTTTGTCCCCTCCTGACTACCTCCGCTTAAAATCCGTCTCGAGACCTCCCGGGGGGTCCATCCTCAACATTTTCGAGGCGAGCCCAGCTGTGGAGACGAGAAGCCTCCAGGAGGCCTCGAGAGGAATATAAACAACGCCAGGAATGACCGCCGTTGTCTCCACTACCCCTTAAGAGGGCGTTAATCCTCGATGGGGGGTTCCCCCATGTTTGTAAATAACTTGATTTGCTTTGTGTGGGTGTGGGCTCGAGAAATGGGAGGCGAGAAATTGCCTGCGACTCTGAGCCCCTTGGGGGTTCCAAAGCCGTGATGGCGACGAACCGTGCGGTGACCGCACTGTTTTGGGACCTTGGACCCCCCCCCGTCCTCCGAGACTTCCTCGGAGAACGAACCGAGTCCCCAAATCGTGCGACCACTCCGAATCCCCACTGACTCGGCACACGGTGTGCCCATCGTACCTCTGGGGGGGGCCCGAGATTGAGGGGGGTGCAGCGGACGGCGGGATAGCCTCCTGGAGGCTCGCCTGTGATCCCCAGGCGTCGTCTTCCACTGCCGGGCTGCCCTCTCCTCTCCCTCCTCCTGCCCCACCCTCCTCCTCCTGCCCCCTCTCTCCCCTGCAGCGATCCTCCCCCCCGCTCCTCCCGCTGGTCCTCCTCCTGCCTGCTCCTCGCCCTGCTCCTCCCCCCCGCTCCCTGCCCGACGACCTCCTCCTGCTCGGCCCGCCCAGGGGACGGCAAGTCCACAACACTGATCCTCATCCCGTCCTGCGAGGGGAGCGACGTGGGGGGGGCCATCTCGGCAGGGGGCCACATGCGAACCCTGCCCCCCCGCCCTCCCCTTCAGGAATCGTGGGGGGGTCCGAGCGAAGTGAACCCCACCCTCCCCCTCCCCCTCCTGCTCCTCCTCCTCCTCCTCCTCCTCCTCCTCCTCCTCCTCCTCCTCATCCTCCTCCCTCCTCTGAGGTGGAACAGAAAAAAGGGCGGCCTCAGGGTGGGAAGCATCGACACGGAACAGGCGGTACATTGCCGATAAATCGACGATATGCTCTCGATGGCGAAAACGTGCGTTCCTGGGCGGGGGATGGCTATCCTCACTCTCTCGGGGGTGAGAGGGCTGTTGGGGGTCGATGCCTCCCCCTTGGAACTCTCCCCCATTATCGCTACCTCTGGTTCTCCGCGGCGGCACTCGGCGACGGTGGCATCAATGTCAGTGCTGGTTCTGGATCCCTCCCCCCCAGGGGCGACGGTGGCCTCGATCAAAGCACGATCTCAGGGGTTGGGTCACTACGTCTGCCTGCGCGGGTGGGGGCAGGTACAGCAAAGAAGCATCGGGCCCAGAGCCTCCCCGAGCTGCGAGACGGAACAAGCAGGTGGATCTGAGTGGCCAGTGAAAGCGACGCCCCAGTGAGAGAGGGCCCTGTACGCTGGGGGGCGCACACATCCGGAGATGGCCCACGTGGAGGCGCACTCCAGAGGGCGTCTCAGGACACCACCCCTGAGACGCAACCCTCACAGCAAGACGCCGACGCAAATCCCCGACGACCTGCCCCCGACCTCCGCGTCACAGGCTTCGCGCGCGCGTGCGGGACAACGATACTACCCTCGTCGAGCGCACCCCCTCTCTGAGCAAGCAGCGCACTGCCCTCAAACCGAGAAGACAACGAAACCACAGAGGTCGCAAACATCGCGCCGAGGACGCGGGGAGGGGAGGGGAGTGCACCATGACCAGCGAGTTTGTGAAGGAATGAAGACTACCGCGGAAGGCAGGAGGAAAGCAGGAAGGTGGGGGTCCGACCGAACAACCGAAACCAGGGGCTAAGCCAAATGGCAGGCCTCAGATCTGGTTTCAGGCTGCGCGTAACGTAATGATAAGATCGCCTTCGACATATGAGAACGAAGCGGAGCATCACGATTTTCCACTGCACGAGACGCCGCTGCCAGAAGTCGTCGTGCCAGAGCCTGCGATCGCACGCAAAGGTCTCCCTCTCGTCCGCCAGGTGATCTATCACCGTGTCCACGTCCATGAGGGGGAGCCAGCGATATGATCGCGTCGGCCTTGACTCGAAGAACTGACACCGCAAGCACTCCTAGGTACGAGAATGGTCATGCGATCGATATCCCCTATACCCCTAGCTCGGCCTAATATGTAGGTTCTCGCCTGCACTCACATGAACTCGAGCTTGTCCAGGAGGCGTTGCGCATCGCGATCGAACAACCCCTTCGAGACTGCCCTGTACTTGCGCGATCCCGTGGTCGCATGGAAATAGCTGACCAGGGCTGACTCGAGATAATGACGAGACTGATTAGCCGTGACGTAACCCTGCGCGCCGACTCCTTCTCCTACTGCTTGCGCGTGGATCTTACCAGACACGCCCTGGCGCCGTTGGCCGCCGCGTCGATGCAATCCTTCGTGGTAAACTCGGCCCAGTACTCGCTGAGCGCCTCTTTGGCCGCCATGGGGCATGCATCGTCTTTGCCGATGGCCTGGATCATGGTGGCCCACGCCTGCGCGCAAGGCGGGCCCATCGGCGTCTCGACCTACTCGTTGTTTGAGACGCTCGCCCCCCCCGTGGCAGTAAATGCCCGCCGCCGCGGCGGCGAGGATCGCAGGCGCCTCGGACGGAGCCGCGGAGGCGACGCGCACCGCGCCACAAAGCTCGCGAAGCTCGGCGGCGCTGCTAAGAGCCAAGAGGCACAGGATCGCGACGAGCGCCTTGATCGCGCCGCCGCCGCTCGCGCCCTCGGACAGCGCATGCTCGCGAAGGCGCCCGACGATGGCGCCAGCGCCGGCGGCTTCCCCGTGGGGGTCGACTCTATCGCTATCTCCAAGTGCGAGGTAGCGGACGCGACACAAGCCGAGCGCGGAGATGAACCTGAAGATCGGGTATAGATCACCAGGGGCCTTGGCTACCCTAGGCCCTTCTACTGACCCTAGGCTTCCCAAGGGTAGGCCCTACTGGAGGCCCTAGGCTTCCCAAGGGTAGGCCCTACTGAAGGCCCAGGCTTCCCAAGGGTAGGCTCTACTGAAGGCCCTAGGCTTTCCAAGGGTAGGCTCTACTGGACACCCTAGGGTAGCCCTAGGGGTGGGCCCTAGGGGTGGGCCCTAGGGGTGGGCCCTAGGGGTGGGCCCTAGGGGTAGCCCTAGAGGTAAGGCCCCAGGGGTAGCCCTAGGGTAGCCCTAGGGGTAGGCCCTAGGGGTACCCCTAGGGTAGCCATAGGGGTAGGCCCTAGGGGTAGCCCTAGGGTGGCCCTAGGGGTAGGCCCTAGGGTAGCCCTAGGGTAGCCCTAGGGGTAGGCCCTAGGGGTAGCCCTAGGGTAGCCCTAGGGGTAGGCCATAGGGGTAGCCCTAGGGTAGGCCTCCTGTGGCATCCTCGGGAGGATCCCGTGCCCACGAGCCTGGCCATCAAAACAAGCAAACCCATCAAGACATCCTCAAAATCTGCCCCCCCCTTGGGGGGCGAAAGTCAGCGCCTCGCTCGAGACAACCCCAGAATCTGCTCCGAAAGCGAATGATGTTGAGTAGCAAAACAGGCAAACCGCTCAAGACATCCCCGCCATTATGGCGCGAACGGAGGAGTGTACTACCCCCTGGCGGCTCCCCCTTGGGGGT